TTTTTATACTTTTTGTTCTAATTCTACACTCCAATGGGTGCGGTGATGACAATTTTTGCCTCTTAGGAACAAAGTTCCGGAGCACGAGTGTCCACTAATCCCCATGAGAGTGACTGGTCCATCGGTTTGGCCGAGTTTTCTTGACCTTCTGTTTTTGACAACGTCTCTTTTTGTCAATTCTAGAAATCATCGAAATACTTTGTCGAAGTCAGACACGAGAAAAGCTCGTCGTGTGCAGTGGACGAGGTATTGGAATGGATGAATCGGAGGCTGATCAAAATTAATCATTCGAAACTGTACTAAAAAACGTAGCGGCGCCCCGTTTGAGGTTTCAGTGAATGGAGCTCGGGTACCATGGGAAAGCTCTGCTAAGTATCTCGGTGTCACTCTTGACAAGGGAATGACCTGGCAGAAGCACACTGAAGCGTTAAAAACTAAATTCCAAATCTCGTTTCGGCAACTCTACCCTATGCTATGTAGAATAGCGAAATTAAGTTTGATCAACAAAGTTCGGCTATACAAGATGTTTATTAGACCAGCGGTCACTTACACAAGTGCGGCTTGGTGTTTTCTCGTCAAAACGCATTTGCGTAGCCTCCAGGTTTTGCAGAACAGAACCTTGCGTACAATCACTAACGCCTCATGGTCAACGAGACCCTTCACAGAGACCTTGACATCCCTTACCTAAGGGACTTCATCAAACAACAAGCGCAGCGACGTTATAGTCAAGCGGAATCGCATAACAACTCTTTGTTGCGCGAGTCAGTAGACTACACAGTCGAGCAAGTTTGCAAGCACACAAGGCAGCGACTCGCACTGTGAACAAAATTAAATCATGCGACTTTAGGTCCAACCAAAATTATAATTTTTCTTCATCAACCAACCCCAAAATTAATTTTAGGGCCAATTTAAAATTGCCGAATACTAATTAGCAATGCCCAGGCACCACTCAAATTGACGCACTTCTTTTTTCTTTGCTCTCCCTCCTTCCTTAATTACTTTCTTCTTCCCTCCTTTCTCCCTGACTTTGTTTGGTATCTGGGCAACCAGTCCTGACAGTCCTACTGACTTACAAGATTTCAACGAAGAGCAAAGGTCCTACGGACCGCTCTGACATACAATGACGGATAGAAAGCTCGTCGTACTTTTTTTAAGGCGATCATACTCATCTCGTTGTATGGTTTATAATTAAAATCACTAGTGCTAGCTTATTGGATAAAAAACACGCGACAGATCAGAGGCAGCTACACAAAGTGAGTTTGAAGAGCTGGGCCAGTAAGCCCTAAAGTTAAATACATAATTCGCATGAAATAGGTTTTGTCAGAGCTCCATTTATTTTGGAAATCTATTTGCCTAACCCAGTAAGGGTTTTCCGTCGCATAATAGTGCATGTTATGCCTGTTGACAACACCTATGCTGTTAAAATTTGCCTCATCGCTAAAAAGAACCTTATCCAGGAAAGTAGTTTCTTCACTCACTTTATTTAGCATTATTCTACTAAACTCCATTCGAGCTGCGAAATCCTGAGGACGAAGGCCTTGATGCAAGAATAGGTGATATGGATGGTACCTATGCTTGTGAATAATCCCTTGGGTAGAAGCTCTGCATATATCGTTTCCTGCGCCAATTTGTCGTGTACTTAAATGGGGATTTTTCTGCAACTTTAATAGAACCTCCAACTGATTCGCCTCATTGGTGACACTTGGATTATTTATACATTTTTTACTATATTCCTTTGCTCCACTTGATTCTCGTAGTGTGGAAAATGTTTTCGGCCTCGGATGTCGCATATTTGAGTACCGTTGCTTATAAATGCGAGATGCTAGGAAACTATTTCTTTGGGTTTCGCCCAAAACGAACACCATATTCACCATTTCTTCTTTAGAAAAATTCATTTTCAAACACGTTTTTATTATAATGCTCACAAATCTAATTTCGACAGTTTGTAACTTATCAACAATTTATTTGTTTCCAAAGATGATGCGATATTTTAGGGAATTAAGCCGTTCCATAAAAGACGTGCTAATAACCGAGAAAATATCCCTAATAACCCTTATGTGTAAAGTATCAAAAAAGCAAGCTTATAAAAAAATGAATCCAAACTTGCACAAATATATATTTGAGAAAAACTACAACCTAAATTTTTGACCACCCTGTATGAGCAAGAGTTAAGATTCGAAAAAGTAACAAATAAGATAAAAGCTGAGGTGCGTAAGTTTTTTTTGATACAAAATTTAGCACTCCAAATTTCAAAATGGCGGACTTACGAGTTTCCGAATTGGGTTTTCTTTCTTGACAAAACACCTTATATCTCAGTAGCTAACTACCAAAACCCCATATAGTATGTAATATCAATTTTCTTCTTTCGATTTTGTTTGTCCAAATATGCAATAAAGTTTGAGGCATTCCATTTGAAAAATCAAAACTTTAATATGTAGGTTGAAATTGGGACACCCTGTATAATAGCAAAATTTTTAGAAATGTGCCCTGAAATGTCAAGTATAACATACCATAAATAAATTTTCCCAAAATGTATTTGTTTATGAGTAATATTCCGTCCACACATGGATGGGCCACCCTGTATTTATACCTACTATACTAAATAATATTACCTCATAAAATCAAGTAATTTCATTAATTCACACTCCAAGGATGATGCTTGGCATGTGCACAACGTGTCACCGCGTCGTCTGCTACCTGCTTTTATCAGTGCCTCGGTTTCACTACAAAAGAAGCAATCTCTACATCTCCGTGACACATGGTTCGCGATCCGTCTGCTGGATATATTTTTCTGTTTTAAGGGAAAATGTATTGCGAAATCTATGGTGTGTGTAATATGTCTAATAGGTGCGTAGAATCTCCGAAGCTGGATGTGTATTAGTATATTATATTATATTATATTTAGTTCTTTCAGATAGATCGACCACCACTGGAACGATTTTCACAACCTACAAAGCTTATTCGTTCTTGGTATATAGTAGTAAGCTTGTGTGAAAATTTCGTCCAAATCCGGGAGCAGTACTTTTCAGGTTATAGACGGACCAAGGATTATCGGACAGACAGACCGACAGATATATTATCTCATTTTCCAAATTTTTCTCGCCAGTAGGCGTGAGAAATTAGTATCAAAATATACATAGCACATAAAAAATATTGTGTGGGAGAAGAGATTATTTGACTGTTTTCGAAGCTCTACGTGGTAAAGGTGCACGCACATTGAGGGGTAGGGAAGAGAAAAGAAGAGATGCATATTTCTTCCACAGGGCTTCCTTAACCTGCACGCACTGAGGCAATGCGACACGAGAAGAATCCCGGCGACATTTGTCATTTTCAGGTGTCAAACGTGATGCGTCAGTTTCACTGCCTTTCTGTTTACATCCCTACCTCTCAATGGGCATGCACCTTCTTACATAATCAAATGAGTGGCAGCGAGCAAATGGCAAATATCGCCACGGATCCCCGTCGCTACACAATGCGTGCGCAAATTTAAGAGTTAAAAAAGCATTTAGCTACGACACGAGTTTGAATAGCCTTGTTTTTGATTAGTCCGTGGATCGTGGCCGTTAGGTTATTACTCAATGACAAAAATGAACTACCTAGGTTGAATTACCTATAATTTAAAGTCGTGGTTTTAGAAATACCAATGGAAGCTACAGCCTCCATGCTCATCTGATGTAAACAGTCAGAGATAACACTGCCTTATGTACATAATATGTATTTTTTCTATAATTCACACAAAACTTGTTATCAAAACATTTGCATATACTTTGAAGTTGAGTCATTAATTTTCAGATAATGATTGTAGAAGGAAGATAAACCAAAATATGTGTGTAAAAATAAAAAAAAAATAAAAAAAAAATTTACCTTGTTTTATAAAGTATCCTCCCGACAAGTATTTCAGTGCGGACCTGTATTTGATCGTGAGGTCTTGGAGCACCGGCATGCCGTCCCCTGTGAGGTCTTAAGTCACCTGATTCACGAGCCCGTTGTACTACATTAACAAAGACACGAGGGGTTGGTTGCACTCGATTGGGAAACCGATCCGCATAAACATGTGCCATTTTTTATTTCGTTTGAGCCACGCAACAGACACCACTATTCACTCACGCGTTACCGACTGACACTGACTGTATACAACTGAATAAAATAATTGTGAAAACATCGTTCCAAATTCTTTCGCTTTTTTGTTTCCGATGCGATGAACCGATAAGGCGGATTATATCCGCTGTTGCCATAATATTATTATTGAGACAGGGCGGTACTCAAACTTCCAAAGGGCTATAACTTTGTTACTTTAATTTTACCAGAAAAATGGTAAAGGAAAAAACATTTCTTTTGATCAGATCTACTCACTGTTAAAATAAATGACTCAACTTCGAAGTATATTGTACTAAAAAACAAAAATATTCAACTTTTCCTTCTATATTGGTTAATATTTCCTGGATCCAAACATCAGCAGTAATCTATCAACATAGCTGCGTCCCAACGATTTTCATCTCGAAACCATTCTTTACATCCTGGTTAAACTGCTTCACTTGTTTATATAATTCACAGTTCCAAGATTAGAATTAGAAAACATGAATAGAGTAAAAACGAATTTTCGATTAACCTTCGTCAACCCACGTATGCACTTAAGATATTGTTGACCAAGAGTTTCGCGTTTTTGGTTCTGTGATTATCCGAAAACCATTTTATCACGGCTTTTAGCGATTTCTAGTTTTTTTTTATTTGTAGCACTTTGCACTTATCTATCCACTTATTAATTCATCTTTAAAGTCATACGGTATAACCGTAAGTCTCAAACAGACAATCGAAAAAATACCAATGTGAAATGAAGCCATTTAGGCTAAAAAAGAGTATCAGTGTATAGCTCGAAAGCAAGACGTGATAGACGCAACAGACGTGTTCACTGCCTATATACTGTAACTAGGAAAAGCTATAATTAATTAGTTCTTCGGGTACCGAAATTGTGTCACGCACCTTTACTTTTACTTTCTTCAGGCAGTTCCAAGGAAGTTTCATCTTGTTAACAGATGACATCCACATTTGGCCAAACACCCATCCAAATCAAAGTAGGCTCAATAAAAAAATGTCGCATTTTCATCTGGTTCAAACATGCGGGGGTGTCCTACATCTGCTAAAGCCATCCAAATATGACAAATTGGCCCGAACCGTGCCGGGCTACTGATGGTGTGTCCCGCACTTGTTGCTCATTTGGTTTCGTCGCGAGGCCGCAACAGACGCTTTCAGACAACCGTTGCTTGCCGTTCCCAGTATTCCCGTACGGTCTCAAATAGGGACTAATTATCGATGATTAACGCTCAAATTGAGGGAAATTAAATAACGTCGCTATAGGCTAGTGGCACTTGCGGACTACAGACGAAGAAGTGCGTTTGTTTTATGTGGTTACTAGTGGATTACTAGTGGTGGCTATTTTATATTCTAGGTGAGTTGCAGATCAGTTTTACAAAATAATTCAACTATACGTGATGGTTTTTAATTGAATATAAATATTAAGGGGGGACATGATGGTTTTTAATTGAATATAAATATTAAGGGGGCGATATTTGGGTCCATTTTAAGAAGAAAATTCTATATGAACGTAAAGTTTTTAGATACAGGGAGGCAGTTTTCAATATTGAAAGTCAATGACGGTTTATCTTAAAATAAAATAAAATGAAATCTGTATTGATTTATGGGTAGATTTGATCTCTTGACGCACGGTTTTCACCTAAAAGATAAAAGCTATTTCTCTGTGTGATCATATTAACGACATTGTTTCGATCATGCAGAGAAACGGTTTTAATTTTTTAAGCAAAAACCGTGCATCGGGTTGAAAAAATCAAGCGATCAAAGCTTAAAAATCAATGGAGATTTCAAGAAAAAATTCTGTTTCAAGAGAAAGGGGTAGCGTACCTTCAAAATCTGCCAAAATAGGTGAAATTCCGTACGAACGCCACTGGTGGAAAAATGTAGTGAGTTAAAAAATGCTTATTGTATGCCAAATTTCATTCAAAAATATATGAAGTGGTATTTACATATACATATTATTAATATAGTAGGTAATGAAAACTTTACCTCCCCATATGTATACAATGTATACATACATTCATCCAATCGTCGGAGGAACTAATTTATGTATCTTATCCCAAGAAAACCGTACTTGCTTTCGAAGAGCTGCTAGTGTTTGTTGATGATGAAGTTAAACGATTACTCTTCCTTCCACCATATCCCTCGCATGTTCAATGGGCGAATGTTCTGTAGACCTAGGAGGCCAAGGACGGAGGCTGAGTTGAGCGTTATTGAGGCACTTCATTGTAGCTCTATCAATACGATGACGAGAGTTACCTCCTTGGGAGATAGGATACTCAAAGGCTTCGAAAAATGGTAAAAGATGAGGCTCGAGTTATTTTTGGATATACCGTTGTATCATGATACCGCCTCTAAAGGAAACTAGACGTGACCTAGTACCATATGTGATGGTGCCTCGAACCATAACTCGTTCAATATGGCGTTTAACTGAAAACTTACATTAGATTCATCATGCTTTCGTAAACTGAACCGAAACCAAGAAAATTGGGATGGTGAATGGTCTAAACATTGGATGCATTAATGAGCCTTGGTCCTTTAGGAACGTATGATGAACGAGCATGAGTCACAAGGTTTCGCGGAGAAAGACTTTATTTATTTATTTATTTAAAATATACCAATATTTCATAATACGTACAAGAAAGATTAGATAGTTCAGACACAAAGATGCTATTTACAAGTATCATAGTGCGGAAAAGAAAACAAAAAAAGCGAGTAGAGTTTTTAGTTGAACGTTACGTGCACCATACTGTAGGAGATATGGCTTGGGACATTACACAACATGGTGTTCTGTTAAGTCATGCCCAGTTCTCATTACATGACCGTGCAACGGAATATCTAGGAACCAACCTCATTTTGCTAGAACTAGTATCAACTGCCCTAATAACGTTCAAGTTAGCCTCAATCCTTGGCCTCCTAGATCTGCATTATCATATGTGGAATGTGATGGAAGGAAGATTGACATCTTTGATTGGCTCTGTGGTTCACAAACATCATATTTTGTCCAATTTCAAACTGCACAAACTTTCAAATCTTTGCTCAGGGGTTGCTTTTAAAAGACTTTCGAAATTTGAAAGTCACAAAACTTTAAAATAATAGGAAACTTGAGAGAAGTTCAAAAAGGAAAATCAATTTTAGTTTTAGTTTTCTGAGCCATGTACAAAAAAATGATCTGAAATCGAAAAACATAAAAACGGAACTTTGTACAGCTTCTCTACTTTCTGTTTTTCTTTTTCTTTTTTTGTTAATTCCTCATCCATTCCAACGCGTTGATCTTCCAAAATATGACTGTCTACGATGCTCCATATCATATCACTTATCAAACATTAAGGTCAATGCAGTGGTCACGTAGTATTTTGCCATGCAAAGCATTAGAAAATCTTCCTCATTCACATTATTGTCGTTTTCAAAAATATCTACTTTCACCTCCAAGTTCAGTCTTATTTGTCGAAATCAAAGTATATTATTTTACAGGATAGAAAATGGAGTTTATGCAGTATAGACCAGAACAGAGTTTTGCAAAAACCACTATCCAAGGTAAACGAAAGAAGCAAAACAATGTTCGTAGCCAGGATGAAGACGCTGGTACTGTCAGACAAAGAAGTCAAGCAAATGCTAGGGAGAGGGACAGGACACACAGGTATTTTATTTTATAAATCTATTTTAAGCAGAAGACTTGGCAGGTTTGTTCATTTCGTAAAAAGAAACACAACTTGTAAAATTATAAATGTTTCAAACCTCATGATAACTTCTCTGTAATTTACTTTTACAACTGCAAATTTCAATTATTTTACGAATCACGCCTACTCGCGAGCAAGTATTGTAATCGCGAAAAATTTCTAAAATAATAATTATGTTTTTTTCATGTTATATGACATGTACATCATAAAAACCCATGTCACTCATTTCCGTCGGTCTGTTTGTTGGTCCGTCCTCAAATTCTTTGTCCGTCTATACAATGGAAAGAGTTGCTTATATTTGGATGAAATTTTCACACAATATTACTACTATGCCAAGGACGAAATTGCTTTGTATATTTTGAAAATCGGCTCAGTGGTGGCTGAGGAAAATGCAAAAAACGAAAAAATAAATATTGTTCAAACTTTCTCGACATTTAAGAGGCTCCTGATCATTTTCAGAAAAAATCGTGTAGGAGCTAAAAATTGGGGGTTGGGATATTTTTTGTCGGTAGTATGTTCACTGACACTTTCAACCCCGGTAATTCTACGCACATATATCTACCATACCTCATAGATTTCTCCGTACATTTATTCTTCAAACTTGGAGAAATATCAAAATCCTGTCTTCGACTGCCGCCTAAGCCACATTGCTTGAGCTGGCTAGCATACTCTTAGAATCGATGGCCGGTACTTCTGCTGCTGATCGCAGCGTTATCAAATTGCTGGGACTATGGACTAATTGTATGGCCTGTTAGGCTAACTTGATCCACTCAATTATTTCCTTGTGCTATACATGCATCTTCGTAGGTACATTTTTTTGTTACAATAGCAACCATTTGTAAACTGATGACAGCGTTGCGTGGGAAGTGCACAGGCAGCCTACCTAATTGCGCCATTTTTCACTTTTATACTCGTATACGGTATCATTGACTGCCTTTTGATTTAAGTTAAGTAATTACTGTTTCAGTGTGAACACAGCATTTTCAACATTGAGGACGCTAATCCCTACTGAACCCAAGGACAGGAAGTTGAGCAAAATCGAAACATTGCGGTTGGCTTCTAGTTATATAAATCATTTAGGTGCACAACTTATGGCAGGTAAACTCATTTTAAATAATACTTCGCTAAGTCGATTGGGTATGGGACTACGAAAATCTTGATGACATTATTATAACGAAACATTTCTATAACCAAACGATAATTTTAGAAATGGTAATGAGATCACCATAAAATTATGACCTGGGTAACTCTTTATGAGCCTATAATGGCTAGAATCAATGTGTAATCTTACATATAAAACATGAAGACCATCATCTTTTACGGAAAAATCAGAATACGCCTATTGTAATCGCAAAATTTGCTGATAGACTTTTAGAAATGAAACATCTAAAATCAAATATGAATTCGATGAAGTGTTATAATTTATAATGTAGGTTGTAGGCTAACTAGGCCTAAACAAACAAAATCCATTAAAATTAATTTTTCTAGGTCCTATTGATCAACCATGTCTCAGACTTCAGAAACCATCATCCGATGACGACAGTTCTCGTCCACACACTGTTTGCACGTTTTGCATAGCCCGCAAAAATAATGTAAGTACAATTATTCCGAGCACCTAGAAATAAAAATTACCTGAATGAAATTTTCAGAGAAGCTTCCTGACTGAGGAGTATGAATGTTCCAGTTTTGAGGGACAGATCTACTTAGCTCCAATGACGGCGACTTTGAATGTTAATGATTTTACTAATAGTAGCCTCGATAGCTCGAATGAGCTAACAAGTATGTTTTGTTAATATTTTTTTCGATTCATGAGTTTACTTTTAGAAACAGATCACCCTGACTTAGTATACAAGTTTTAAGGGTTTCAGAAAATGTGAGTGTTCCAAATTTTTGTTGTCCATTAGAACGTAAGATATGTCTAATATTTAAGAATCTTGTGATCCTTTTTACGAAGGTACATTAGAGTAATGTGCAATTTAATTTCTAAGTGTACTTAAACATCACCAAAGTTAATGTAACCGACAAAATGTTTTTATATACTTTTTTATAAATAATCCGACTAGCATCTAAGTGTTTTATTTCCTCGAGTGAAGCATCACTTCATTAAACAGATTAATTGAATACGAAATGCCGCTAATTAGAGTAATTAAAACAGTTTACCAAGGTTGTGTCGGATTAAAGTCACATTCCTCGTCATCAAATGTTTTAGTAACGAAAGAATATTTTATTGAGAGAATACCCATTCTTAGGGGTTACAAAGCATAAAAAAATTTTGTGTCAATATTACTGATTCCTTTCTCCCACTATTCAAACATTACAACTGACACTGGCGTATTCAGAAAAAGGTTCAGCAGGGTGTCCAAGGACTAGTCATTTGCGATACTGGCATTCATCTTCAAGAAGTGCTGTTTAAGCAAACACCCCTCACCTGCCCTTTTAAATCGCCAGCACTCGCTTTCAGAAGAACTGTTTGAGTTAAGCAACCCCCCTTTTTAGAAGAGAGGTTCCAAACTAGTCACCTTTTACTCATTCACAAAATCTTAGAGCAACCCCAAAGGTAGAAAATGTAAGCGCGCCACACTGGAACGGGTAGGTAACAAAAGCGGTTAAAATCGAATTCACTATGACACTGTTTTAATGCGCAAAGAAATTAACACGAAAATAAATAGCCCTTTCTTTGTTGTCGTCGTATCCTTATCTGCATTGCACCGATATACTGCACGCCAACGTGTTGACATTATCGTGGAAATGGTCTCGAAAAGAACCTCAATTCTTATTTCATTTCAGAGCATCATTAGTGATAATAGTGTGTTTTCACATGGGTTTTTGAGTTTTTATTTTTGTTCTTTATCAATATTATAGGAACCCAAACTTTTAATGTTTTTTCCATTCTCAATAATTTAGGGGCAATAGTGTGTTACGGACATCAAACTTAACAACAAAAGTAAGTTTTACCAAAGTAGCCAGAGGAACATCTTGAAAAATATCGTGTTATTGAAAAACTGCTGATGTGTATTATTAGGGACATACGTTTTTGATTCTTACGATGTGGTGTATTCATGGATTTAGCTTCAATAATTCAGGAGTAGCTAATTTTGTGAATAATACAAAGTTATTTAATGTTGCGGAAAACAGTTTGTAGCTAAAAGTCTGGTAGCTAAACGAAGCTTGAAATATTTACTGCACAGCTAGCACGAAAAGCAGAGTTTTTAATGTCGTTGTCAGCGGTCAGCATATTGTCAGCCTTTAATTTTTGATAATCCAAAAACTTTTAGAAAGGTCCCTTACAAACATAATGGCTGCAAATAGTGATAAAATGACAGAAACTTCAGTGTTATCAACGGGAAAGCCTGCAGATTTTTCATTCAGGAGCTTAAAATCGATAAACGTGGCGCAATTTCTGGAAACTATTGGACTGGAAGGTGCAAGGTATTTTGATTACATTTTTGTCTGTCTTAAATATGCCAGTCACACGGGCTTCTAATTTCTTTATGATTATTTCTGTGCCTGCAGCTTACTTAGCACTTTACGAAAATTAGTATCCATACTTATGTCTAGACTATATTCGATAAATTATACCTCATTAATCATTATACTACCTAATACACTGTTATCCATAATATCCTAATTTTTCGATTGTCAAAATTACCGTAGATATACTAGAGTTGCTGGTGTACCAGAAAGAGGTGGAGAAGGCAAAAAGTTCCTAACGAGATCTCTCTGGCTGAATAACAATAAATTGAGGAATTTTAAACATGTTGATGAACTAGTCGAGGCTGTTTTAGAATACCCTCGGGAGTTGGGTTGGATTGATTTTTCGTTCAATTATATTTCAGAAATAGATGAGGTAATTGTTTAATTATTAATTTACCATATATGGAGAAAGTAATGCGCATCTTACGAACATGCTTCACAAAAATTGTAAATATGTACTGTAGTAGTAGTGGTTTGAAAGCGAAGCCTGCTAACGCGGCCAACTTTGACCCTTTTTGCCGAGTCCGTAGGACCAACACTGTACTACTTCACAGGACATCTACAGCTAAGTGATTTTTGATTAAAGAGCCCCCACACCCACGCGATACAGCGATAGCGGTAGCGTCAGCGCTAAAAAACTCATTTAGCGCGATAGCTGCAGGTTCACACCAAAGCGATAAGAAAGATTTCTTATCTGCGCGATATTCTCAAACGTTTTTTGATTTCTTGTACAAGATGTTTTCTGATGAAGAACTATTATTATTATTGGCATTAGCAGAAGGTAAAAAGCAAAAAATATAAGTATTTTGATGATAATAAATAGTTAATAATAATTAAATGTTTAAGGAAAAAGAAGAAATGAATACATCATATCAATAAAAAATCTTAAATTTAATGGGTTCTCACACTGTATCCTTTTTCCTGCAATTTTTATAGTCTTCGTAACTTAAATCGTTCAATGTTAGGTACTTCTTAACTTGTTCAATTAATCTCTCCGTTGTTGTACATCGTGAAAAACGTGGTGATATGGAATACGAACCGCGTCAGTGGGTTTTCTGAAATGAAATGCTGTCAAGGCGATAAACCGCAGGCCACCCCACCGCGCTGGTGTGATCGGTGTTATTTACCGCTTTGAAAACTAAGCACCGCATGGACAACGGTGCCATTATCGCTAACGCCTTACCGCGTCGGTGTGGAGGATCCTTAAGCCATGCGATGCGATATACCTATGCTGATCTTACACCGACCTGGTGCGTGATATAGACAATACACAACACAATATCCATGGCTAGGAATTAACTTCCGAGGCGGAGATTCGAATGCGTGAGCCTTGGGTCGACTGATTGGTAGCTAGACGCGCTAATCACTCGACTACATAAGCCCTATTACTTTAATTATATTACAGAAATGGACGATGTTCTATGAACTTATTTTCATCTAAGGGCTTGACCGCAAACCAATATTGCTTTTTGAGTTATACTCCATCAACGGCGTCTAATTCGGGGAGAACGGTATACCAAGATAATATTTTTGTAGTGCATCTTGAAGTTTAAGAATCTGAAGATACTTTACTTTCATGGTAACTGCATAGCAGATTTGGATCAAATATTCAAGTTGAAGCAATTAAAGGAACTTAGAAGTGTCACTTTTCACGGAAATCCTATTGCCAATCATCCCAAGTATAGGAACTATGTGATAGCTGCTCTGCCACAGGTTTGTACAAGAAGAGGCCTTAATGGAGTATGGCATTGACGATATTTTTTGCCGTAGATCGCCAACTTGGATTTCTCTCCAGTAGTGCATAACGAAAAACTGTACCCGAAGCCAGCAGAAATTTTGAAAAAATTGAAAGAGAGTGAATATTCAGAAAAAAGTGCTTCGTGATTTTGGTATATCTATAGCAATTTTTCAAAATAGACTCATATATATACCAGTTATACATTTTGCTACAATATACATCTGCACTAAATAATCATGGTGTACATTCATAGAAATATAGTCGGAAATACTATGATGACCAGAATTTGAAACTTCTTGGGGTGACCAACTGAGTCCATCTACTTGATTGACTATTTTAAATTTCACGACTTGCGCTATGCAACGTGACAACGTGACTTACAACAGTGCAGCATGGGTCACATACAGTATTTGTCAATAGTGTCTAAACATAACCTATAATTTTTTAAAAACAAAGATTGTACTTCCGGATTTTCCACCTTTTTCACATTCCCTCACATAATTTGGAAAGTAATGAAAAATTTGCGATAAGAAGATATTTTTTAAAGCATGAAGCAAATCTTGGACTCTTTTGTGAGTACAAAGTACTTTAGCCAAAGTCATATTTTATCAATTTGATCGTTTTTTTAGCTTTCTTGTGTTGTTTGGAGCAGTGAAAATCAAGCAAATTTACTTGCTTTTATTGCTGGATTACCACCAAATTGTGTTACACACGATGACATCGAAGATATTGGTGAAATTTTAGCAAAAATGTTTTCAGTCATTGATCGAAGTGAGAGAGAAAATGTGTTCAATCAAACATTTTTAAAAAGTGACATCACAGTAGCTACACATAAGATTATTCTATCTAAACCACGTTTTTTCACTGTGCTGCTTGTAAACTCCCTTAGACACCAGCATCCGTTGTTTTCTAGAAAAAATAAAACCTCGGAACATTCTGATTTCTTCTGTAAAGTAGTTACACACAGTTTGAAAAACATTAAGTTATTGGAGCAGTCTTCAATATACTTACTGAGGACACTTAATCTGATTTTGAGCAAAAATAGTTATATTTTAAGTCCAGAATTGAGCATGGGAATCATAAAATCGATGCACTGGGTTACAGTGTCACCATTGCCAGGTTTCAAACAATATGCTCATAGTATAACAAAAATTTGTCTAAATTTTCTAACTAATGACCAGAAAGAAATATTTTGTGATCACAATATTATACCAGTTAGAGGCATAGAGACTTATAATTTGATGAATCTATTTTCTGAAGAATATTTAGAGAAATCTATGGATGAAGTAATAAATAGTATATTATCTTCTTTTAAAACAAACATTGAAAATAAAGATGGTAGTATCTTGTATGAGAGATTATTAATTTTTAGTTTTGAGATATGGAGGTTGAAGATATGGCCATTATTTTTGCCATATTTTCGGAATATTGATCAAGAAGGGTAAGTAATTACTGAATTTACAATAAAAGACAGAAGAACTGAGGATAATATTTTATAGGGAATTTTATCAAAGCTTACTGAAGTACTGGATACCAATAAGTGTTAATGTCTACAAACAAGATTTCTACCTATTTGTTAGAAATGAAGCAATTGATTCAATTTTGAAAGGACACATTTTACTTGAAACAAGAAAAAAGGGTCTTGTAAATGTAGATGTAACAAAAGACATTTGGAAATTATTCCACAACTTGGAAACAACGAATATATGCATAAGAATACTATCAATATATCATAAGAAGTCACTCCATCCAAGCAACTTTGAAATCAAACTGGTTCTGGAATTTCTAAGATCAAATATCGAGACAGCATTAGGTGATGAGGATGTCAAGAGTCTGAATATGTTCTTCTCACAATTCATTTTATATGCTCACACTGACCTACCTGCATCTGAAGGAAAGTTTGAGTTTTATAGAGATACCATTGATTTGTTTTACCAGTTCTGCTGCCATAGTTTGGAAACTGATCATTTTGAAGTGGGCCTGCAAGTAGCCCAAATAATTCTGAACATCTTGTCAGGTATGAAAAATTATAGGAAAGTCACTTTTTGCTGTCAAAACATGAACATACTATATGTACATCCTATTTGGGTCTATATTTTGATCACACCTTGTTCTGTTTATAAAAACCAAGAGAGCCTACTTGATATATAAACCATTTTTAGGTTCTTATAAAAAGTTGCTGCTGATTTACAAACTGGAAAGAAAATATTACTATGAAGAGGGAGAAAATGCTTTATTTCAGAGGCTGAAGGGGAAGTTCTTGAAATTTACTAGTTTGAAATTTCAAAATAAATTGAAACAGTGTCTTTTGATGAAGGGAGGAACCAGTAAATGCTTAACAAACTTGATTTTGAGTCATTACCCTCAAGTTTGTTTTCTTGATATAGCTACTTTTAGGAAAATATTATCTGAGTCTGCAAAGATATCTTCTTTAAAAAACATTGAAAAGATATCAAATTTATCAAGAATATCACTGAATGATAGGAACCCTAGCAATATAGCATTCGTGAACAAAACAGTTGATATTGTGCTGGAAGATATGAATGATTTTGAAACAACTAGTACCTATAGCAATGTTTTGCTACTGACAGTCATAAATGTTGCTACACAAAATCTTTTCATAATAGACAGTTTACCTGTGTTGATAGAAAAATGTTTTGACTATATGCTGTTTCAAATCAATCAAAATGCATCTAGTAAAATGGCTTACCAATCACTGAAGACCTACGAAGCATTTATAAATGTAAGATGACTAAATTAAATAAGAATTTTGTATGCCACATGTAATTAAAACACCCTTCTTTCAGACAATTGTCAATATTACAATTCAAAAATTGGATTCTCTATGGCCAAACTTGAACAGAAACTTCGTTATAGATGCATTGATGAAAATAATTGGAATAAGTAACATGAAAAAACCAGTTACAATCAGCGCAATTGCATTGAAGCATCTGTTTGTAAAAATGGAGGAATGTGATATTATGTATAAAATGTTACTGAGTGATGAAGTATTGAGGTGTATATCTGATGTTCCAACACGATCTGACCTTAAAATCAGGAGATATCCTGAATATAGGTTGGTTCTACATGCCCTGTGCATGTCAGATAACAATCCAAGTAGGGTAAGACTTTAAAATTGACTTGTCTTGATTTTGAATAATTTAAGCATGTCCCTAGTTAAATATCTAGTACAACATTTTTATGTAAGCAATTTGTTTCAGCTATTTCTGAAATGGATTATCCAAGACCTCATACAAATTATAAAAAATGATGAATCATCAGACATTGCAGTATCAAGATCTATACACTCCATTGAGATACTGGTATCAGAAAACACACTGCATAGTCATACCCTATTTTATATGGAAGAAATAATAATTCTATGCATCGAGCTTTTCAAAAATGAAAGCTGGATTATCAGGTTAGAATTTATCGTAGTTTTTAGGACTTTATACCCGGTTGTACCACCTTTCCTACCACTTAAATGATCCAAATGTTAATGTCAACCTCAAAATGAGCTTTTGTCGCACCACTTCGATTTGGTGAAAACTTAGTTAAGATAAAGTTACATATAACAACAAGTGCATGAGTAGTAACTTTTTATTGCAATTACGTCTGCAACTACAAATCAGATGGTTTGTTTTTCTATACAAGCAGAAAAACAAACACCACAGTCATATAATGACATGTTTCCATTTATATTGATTGAAAGTGATTTTATTTGGTGTACCATTATTATGCTTGTTGTAGTAGACTCAATATTTATCATCTAGTACTCCCTTTGGGTCGTTCTCATCAGTTTAAAAATATTCTAAAGTATTCGCGTAATAAGGCATTCAAATAACTCTGCAAAATATATATTTTAATCTATTCATGGACAAACTTGTTGTTGTTTCTGACGAGTAGCTTCAAAATACTATGCAAGCCTTTTAGATCTTAATGAAGAACTTGAAAGAACTTTCCAATATAATTTGTGAAGCGGATATTATTAAAAATTCACAGCTACAGTCATATGCCGATGACACACATTGTTTTAATTCCTTCACTCTCAGGACCACCAGAAAGCAACTATGCAAATTAACGAGACCATTGACTCTATTTGCACTTACTCAGCTAAAAACAACATAACCAGAGATGTAGTCAAAGCGTCATTATATGTATTAATATTAATCAAATTCTTCCTTTTTCTGAAAGTGTGTTGAACGATGAAAATGTGCGGCTTCGTGAACATTTGAATAACTTCTTACAAAGAACTTATATCCGTCTGAGAACCCTGTATGCGAACAGAAATCTGCTGAATTTTAAAGTGAGAAAAAAATTAGGTTATGTGTTATCAATTTTTTATTATTGCAATCTTGTTTATTATCCTTGTTTAGATTTTGCGAGTCGTAACAGAATATCTGTTGTAAAAAAAATTGACTGTGTTTCGGATCGTTACCTTTTAATAGGTTGGTTAAAGATGACATACTTAGTAAAATCCAATTACTTAACTTTTATATGCAAGTTACTTATTTCTGGAACTCCAATTATTTAGGTAAAAAACTAATTTTTAGATATAGTGTTCATCAACGACCTACCCGTAACACATCTTCATTAACAATGCCTCTTTATATACGTAGTTCATCTTTTTTTAAACACTCCTTCTCATACAATACATATACAATGCGTTTTGTTTGATAGCTTAGATTATAGAACATAAATAAAGCCTGCCACTATATAGTTTTAGAGTACATTTGAAAGTTCTTCTGTTTAATGATGTTTTTTAAAGGACTTTTTCTCCAGCATTATACTTTTTTGCTTGGTTTGTTCAGGTTGTGATCAGTTTCTTGCGCATTTTCCTCCTTCCAATTTAGTAGTACAGCTGTACTTTTCTACCATCTAATATTTTTATGCACTAAATAGTTAGTGTAAGAATAGCTTTCAGCTAAACTTCGCCATGAAGCTGCTCCCTAATTTTATTTGTGTCTATTGTTAATTTGTTTTCAATAAAAGATGGTTTATCATTATTACGAGTATATCTGCTGTTTTCAACTTACAAAGAACTGTTGGGCAGTGGTTAGTGGGTCAAATTATAACAATGTCAAACTGGCAAGTTGTCATTGCAGGTTAGAAAATATACCTTAAGCAGGAAAAATTCTTCGACTTAGCTCAACTGTCTGTTTAAGTTCTACTCAAGTTTCAAGTGGATTTGATGCAACAAAAACATCGAACTTAAAGTTCAGTTTGGCTTAAAGGCAAGGCGGCGGCGCAACCGGGCATTAGTTACACAGCTACATATCTACTTGACTATTAAATTTTGTTACAGGAACGCAGATTTGCAGCTAGCCAAAGCCCTGATTGATAGATTCTTCGGAGTGTCACTGAATACTTGCAACAGACCTAAAACTATCGAGGACCTCTTCGTACTGTTTCCAAATCTTCCGTCATACTTTTTCAAAATCTTATCCATGGAAATTTTGGACGAACGTGCTTCAATGGCATTTCAGTTCTTTCTTGAATCACAAATAAAAACTAGTCTTTGGACGCATGTTACAGGAGAATGTTTGTCATATTTTCGAGTATTATTCATTGATATAATTAAGAATTATCCTAATCACTTTGGAAAATTAGCTGTTAAATCTTTAGTGGCTCTGACTATGAATGACGATATTCCAAATGTGGTATTAGATATTTGCAGTTATATAAAAAGTAACTTTATAAATATGCGTAGTAATATCATTTCAAATGTAATTTTTCTTGTCAAAGAACTACACGAAAAATATGCAAAAGGAAGTATGAATAGTACGAGTACAGAAGTCTACTTGCATGGTTTATCTGAATTTTTGAGGAAACACAACTCGTGCGTTTTCGATTTCATGTTGCTCAAAGTTAATACATCCTCAGTGGTAATGAATAAAATTAAAAGCTTTAATGATAATGACTTCCAAAACAGGATATGGTTGAACAATTACATTCCTCTTTTGGTGAACAGTAAATACTATTTGCAGTACTTGGATGATATTTTGTCTTTCAACCTGCCTGTTTGTCAAAAAGTAAAAGTGTTATCTATGTTGGTATCAAAGTTCGAACGAGGTTGTCTGAAACCTGCAGATATGCCAGTTGTGTTTAAAATAATAGTTCAGAATTGCATTTCAGAGGACGACAAGTATTTATTGTTATGTTACTACAAAGTTGCTTCTCTGATTATTTCCAGCATTCAAGTTGATGTAAATATTGATAATGAATTATTTCCTTCTAAATTTAATAGCTTATACAAAGCTCATGTATTTGTTCTATATCAATCTATATCAAAAGCTAGTATATTGAAAACATTTCAATTAGATTCAATCGTTAAATTATATTCAACTCATGTTGGCATGACCGACGATATTGATAGTGACATTGCATATAGTTTGAAGTATTTTCCAGAAGATATTTCAGCTGACTTAAAATATATATTATATAAAATTGTGTTCTGTTACTCCTTGCAGCAAACCACATATTTGGAAATCTATAATTTTATTACCGAAAAAACTAAGAAACGATACTATAGTATACTACCAGCACTTGAATGTTTGTTATCTCAGAGCTTTATCACAAAAACATTAGGTGTTTATTCCGACATATTTTATTGTAATATAAATAGGTATGTAAAAGAAATGTGTAAAAATAGCGGAGAACAAAATGGATTTTATGAAATCCAAATTGACTTTGTTGTTCCGATCGATTTTTTAGCGAAGCTGTTAAAAATAAAAGACTTATACAGTTAATATTCGGTTTTAATTGTGATGTCTGTTTCACTTTATTACCTGTTCACCATATTTGATGCTGTTTAGACGGGCAGCCGGGAATCTGGATTTCCGCGTGTTAGAGTTGCAAGATAAACCAGCCAGGCTTCTCCCATTCTAACTCTGTTACTTTAGGTCAAAAATCGATTAACACTTTTTTTAGATCCTTATAGCAGTCGCGGTACCCCGCCTGCTTCAGTTAAAAAAATGGCGTCAAGTAGATTGTCTATATTTACTATGCCTTTGTTGGAGGTTTCAAAGGAAAGGGATGAGTCAAGTATGTACATTTCAAAAGGCGGAATCGAATCGTGACTAGGTATGTTCACTTAGATACGATCCATATTCGATCTCTACATATCAAACTATATAAAATATCTTCCAACCTGGAATATTAAACCCCTTCAAATAATGTCTAAAAATGAGCAGGAATCTCTGAAACGTTGTAACACTTCCACCGACTTTTTTTTCGTAGTTTCGCCGTCACTGAATCAATTAGAATCAGAAGCCACGACTACCCAAACGATTTAAGTATTGAACTCGCGACAATAATCGAACTTCAATTCTCAAGTTTCCCTTTGCTGAAAGATATCTACATCACACAAGTGAGTGTTTCTCATTTATGTCGGTTTATAAATCCGTGTATGTTGTGCCTAATAAGTACTGAGTCAATATGCTTGACTAGATATTCAGAGAATAAATCTGTAACATAAATTAAAGGTTAGGCGAAATGGGTGAATACATTTAAGGATCATAAAATTCTGAAAGATATGTGTAGATACAAAAACAGTCAAGTCATTTACAGAAGAATTGCAGAACTGCCTGCGTGGCTGCTTCGGCGTAAAAAAACCCATGTATTCCTAAAATATATAAACATTGCTGCAGTGGTGTTTGGTGTCTACACCTCCGCAGTTCACCAGCTGAAGTTAGTTACCCATTGCGCTTGTCACAGTGGGCAGTGGCCTCAACGATGATGCAGCGTCGCAGAATCCCTCTGTGCACGCAACGCCAATGATTGCAAGTTGACCACTTTTATCATTTAAGCTTCTTAACAATAGTACGTCTTTGACTGATACCAAAGATGTAAGCTGTAGAAGTCACTATCCCCTACAACTCCCAATCCTCAATTTTCAACCCACAAATTTTTTGTTTCGTAAATGGTCAAGAGCATCTGAAAAGGCAAAGAAACGATGTTTGAGCGATTTTTTTCACCCCCACTCCACCGTCACTGGACCGATTTTCAAAAACTACAATGTTTTTTCGTTTTTGGCATAGTAGTAACCTTGAGTGAAAATGTCATTAAAATCCGACTAGTACTTCTCAAGTTATAGACAGGTCAATGATTAGTGGATAGACAGAGAGAGAGACCGGCAGACAAACAGAAATGGTTTACATGGTTTTTCGTGATGTACATGTCATATAACATCCAAAATTACAGTTTGTCATTTTCGAAGCTTTTCGCGATCATGTCCAGCGACCGAATCCAGCACAGTTTACATTTCATAGTATATCAGATATCACATTGCAAAAACCTGAAATTAAACTGAAACTTGTTAATTAAACTGGGAACGTAACGTGGCTGCAAAATATTAATTTCATACTCCAGAGCACACCCATTTTCATCTGTCGAAAATGATTGGAAAATAACCAGATTTTAGTACACACATGTTGGACAGCTGCGTATGACTTATAAATGAAACAATCAAATGTACGATTACAAATCGAGGTTTAGTGTCAAAGGCCGATTAGATTCACCGTGCTCCATTTGGAATTCAAGAACTTTGTTCTTATATTGTCAAAGAACATTAATGTACGGTACTGATTTCACCAAAATTCAGTCTATAAGTGTTGAGCGTTCCTGAAAGTGATAACCTTCAGGTCTTCCGTTAGAGAGCAAGCGGTTAAAATTACTTTCCTCTGCAGTTCCACTCACGTTCGTCCTCAGCAGTTTTTCCCGGTGGGTAATTGGACATCGGCAAGAAGCAACTTCTAGTATACTATGAAAGTGTAGCAACCCCTAAAGCGTTTGAAAGGGCTTGGTGGAGCAGACTTTCTCAGGGGGTGGCCGGCTTGATTAGTGCATGTCCCATGATTTAGGTCTGTGGGAGGTAACCTTGGTTTCTTCGAGGGGGGGGGCTATGGATTTACCTCGCACCTTGAGAGCTCTACTAGGTCTGGCATTCCAAATTCCTGAAAATATAGTTGCGATGGATCGGATGTAGTTTGCAGAAATCGAGATTATGTTAATGTCATACAGAAGCAATGTTGAAGTTAAAGCTGACCCCTGCGGATTATCTGTATTGACATGTGAGATGAAGAAGAAAAGCCATCTTGGGTAGAGCATATATGTAGATAGTTCAGGAGCAATATGCCACAGCTGATAAAAAGCCGCTGTTGCATCAAGAGCGGCGACTTAGGAACTCCACAGTTGCCTCATGTGTGAGCTGGAAAGTCACTATTTCATCTGTGGTGTTCGAAACCGCACTGCTAATCAAACGGCATTGTTCAAGATTTTGCAGAAGCTCTATTACTTCACTTACCTTTGTGATGACATCCCTTTTCTGGGTTAGATTAAGTATGAGCAAAGTTTCAGTTCTAGTGGAGAATCGGATTGGACCGTATATTTTGTATATTTTAGCTTTTTGTTTTTTTGTACAATTTTGTAAATCCGCAGGATTTGCCCCCTGACAAAATGTGCTACCATCCCACTCTTCAAACAGTTTTTGGGACAGGTACATTTGTACAAAAAGCTTCGCCGCTGATCGGCCAGAACTTTTGTTGGTGTCTGGTGACTGTATTTGTCTGACGGTGTCATGTCTTAAAATTAACAATTCTTTCATGGAGTGAAAGACACTTGGTATGGGTGGCATTTGCGTGTTAGGAGTCGAATTGGATGCAGAAACTTGGCGAGAAGCTTAATTAACTTCAGCTTCGATTGCAATGCACTTAGAATAGAACTACGGATAATTCGATTAGTTACATTTTGAGTCGCTTGGTTATAAACATCAAGAAAAGTACTTTGAGAGGTGTAGGGGAAAGTCGGGTATATTGTACCACCTCAATATCTCCTGCACTATAGATTTCTAAGGCCTTTTATTCCGCTTATTTGATACCCTCTGGCGCCAAAACGTGTCTGACAAACGCAACCGACGGCGACGGTCTTTTGTGAATCTTAATATTTGCTGATTTGTGAAAAACTATTTTACGTAGTAAGTTTTATACAATCTTAGTTAAGCCTTCATCTCCAAATAATTGCTTTCTGACAGCTGGGTTGGCATTTCTCGTAATAAACGATTATTTTATGAGATATGTATCAAGTCAAAGTTAACCTAATCACACTTTCTAAAAAGAAATAGAATTCATTCCAGTGCTATAATTTTTACAAGCAGCTGCTTTGCTAAATCGTACCGATACAATTTAACAAACTCGTGTGTAACGGTTTCACCGTCCGATCGTATTTATTAAATCACTTCTCGATTATCATTTCATTAATCCCATCTCTAGCTTTTTTACTTGGAAAAATTTCCGCTTGGAGGGCGCTTGATCCTGATCTGCGATCTTCCTCGCGCTTCTTTTTCACTTGAGCCGCCGATCGAACAAGAGCTAAGAATTTTCTTCTCTGTAGCACAAGGTCATATAGCACCATGTGCTAGAATTTTGTAGAATGTGTGTCCGTATAGGACAAAATGATTGGGGCCACTCCCTTTCTCTTTCTCTTTCCCTTTCCCTTTCTCTTTCCCTTTCCCTTTTGCCTTAGTCTTTGACTTTGCGTTGCTTGGCCTATCACTTCACCCATGCATGTGCCTTGGCAGCGCCATCGCCTTTAAGTTCAACTTCGCCTACAACTGGTTTTGAAGCCACTATATGTGAGGTCACCCCTCATAACTGGGACCTCCACTTCAAGCACCTGGCCATCCTCGCTTCAGTCGAGTCAAAATGGACCAGCGAAAGATAAGTTGATAGTTTTATAGCAGCGCCAAAGATGTAAAACTTATTTTGTTCTTTAAAACTGTAAAATTGTAATGTAATGGAAATGCTTTTTTTTGTTAAATAAAATCTGTTAAATTTTTGTGTTCTGTTTGTTCTTCTATCCTCTAGCCATGCCATGGTCGACACACAGCTACACGCCTGTAGATGTCTTCATGCCACCGACTGAGCTACCGGAAGCTAATGGTAACCCCCTTTCTGTGATTGTGCAGAAAAGTTGGAATCTTCATTGCATTCCATCTTTTCTGGACATTTTGCGGAAAGGAACCGTTACACGTGTATTATTTATCAGTCATGCTTCGCAAGAGCTGAAAATATGGGAAATTGAGCGAGGAAAACACGAAATCAGCGATAAAACTATACAAAACGGGAAAATAATGCCTAAACAAAATATCCCCAGTCCTAGTCGTAAGGATAATTTTCTATTTTATCGATGTGTTCAAAATCGGAGATTCCCATGTTTGAGTTCAGTAACTGAAATTGTTCATTTGTATATTTTGAGTTATTTTGTTAGAATAATAGTTTATTTCACCTTTGTTCCTTGTTTGTGGTCTCTGTACTGTAAGTTGGATAATTGGATATGGTACAACTTAACGAACCGGGTTCGATGAGTTGTATCGTTTGCAACATTTTTTTAAAAAGCTTATTATCCTAAACTCTGAGTATTCACTGTGTGCATTTTAACAGAATCATATCAAATTATTTTACTTTGAAGTTTCGCAATTCAAACAAGTTATTAAGGGGTTATTCCATATAATATGTTAAGTGGTACAAATTACCCAACTTTACCCTAATATGGCTACAAGCGCAACAACTAAAAAACTTTGTAATGAATAGGTTGAATAATAGAAGTTCTCTAATTCTGACTGTTAGTTGCGAGACTCTAAAACGTATTATATACCAAACTTGAGCTTTAGCTGTGGTCAGATGGAATGAGTATTAGCGCAAGCTCGAAAGTGGCGCGAAACTCCAGTTGAAGCGCCGTACGCTTGACGCGACT